TCTGTCTAGATTAAAAATATTCCCCACCTTCCAAAACCCAGTGTTTATTATTCTTGCAGCATCAGTAAGAAGATGCAAAATGACAGCAATTTCAGTATCCAGAGCTTTTTCTTTCCTCATATTTAACCCAAATGTACCCTTTATCTTTTGGCCCCATTTCCTAAAAAAATCTGGGACCCAGAGAAGATACTTGAGGCCAAGGACTGTATTTTATTCACCTTTGTCTCTCCAGAACCTAATATAGTTCCCAATGCAATACAGGCACCCAGGAAGTGTTGGATGAATGAATAAATGAAGTGTATTCCCTGAATGTGAAGAAGGTGCTACGGAATCACCATTCATAGGACACAAGCAGAGAAAATTTTTCTAGATGTGCACATGAATTTTCAATCGGCCACCACACATGTCATTCTCTGCCTTGCCTCCCCTGGTTTTTCTTAACTGCTTCCTTGCAGCTGAATTTAACAACACGTCCCCCGTGTGATCCGAGGATCACCCTCACCCCTAAATCCTGAGTTAATCAAGTTGGGGACAAAAAGTACATATCAGTGGCTTAAGTCTCTACCACCTACAGGGGCTTAAGATTAGGACAAGTTCCCAAAGCAGGATTCTGGGTGCTCAGCTATGACTGCTAGCTTTACCTCATTCTCCTAAAGTATTTCATCTAATCTTCACAACAATCCAGCAACATAGATATGTGTGCCTGTTACAACTGGATTTGTCTGCCTAAAACAGAACCCCAGCCACAGTCAATTGACCAAACAAGAGTTTATTTTTCTCATATGACAGGAAGCTGCAGTACTAACTAGGGCTAGTCCAGTGGCCCCCAGTGCCATCAGGGTCTTAGGCATTTTTCAGCTTTCAGACCCGTAAGCTTAGATTGTGGTTTTGGGCTTCACACTCACTAGATGGCTGTTTCTCTTTCAGCATCCTGCCTATTTCAGGCAGGAAAAAAAGGCGGGGTGGGAAAGATGAAGGGCAAAAGCATGTGACAGCTGAATCAAGCCCTTTAATGAGTTTTCCCACAACCCCTTCCAGGGATTTCTATTTATGTCTTACCAAACATTCCTAGGACTCTGGGGATACTGGTGTTTTCAATCGATTACATTGTTTCTGAAAATCGGGGTCTTCTTCGTAAGGACAGAGGAGAGACAAGACTGGCATGTTAACAGTGTCTTGCTACAACATGGCAGCATTTGGTGCTCGGAACCCTGGGGGCCATAGTTTTGAGGGTCATGGTGCTTCCTCCCCACCTTTGGATGATCCAGTCCACAGTACTAGGCTTCTGTCTTCCTTTCTCTCTCTTCACTCACTCTCTCTCATATCTCAGTCTACCTCTGAACTAGAGCCCTGCCCTGAGCCCTAGCCACTCCTCACAGTCCTTTTCCTGCTTCTAACCCAGCCTCCCTCACCACTAGCAGGGTACTTCTGTCTGTGGACTGGATTTCCAGTGCTGGTCACTGTGCTGCTCAGCCTCTGACTTTAATCAATGGATGACGTCCTTGGCCAGACCTCTCGCTACCAGACTGTACCTCTTTGTACTTGAGACTGTCCAATTCATCTGTAAACTTGTCCAGGGGGTGACCCAGAGTTTGTTCCTACAGCCAGGATAGTTTCAGTGCCCAAAGAGTTAGGGCAAGAGGATCTAACTTCCTGCGATAACAAAATTTCAGTGCCTTGCATTTGGTACCTCTTGAGGCTGGATGGACCATACTCAGAGCTGAAGAGAGGCAGCCTTACTTTCTCTCTCATATCACCTTACTGAAAGCGCATGCAAACATAACAGCTCTAGGGCAGCATTGCAGGAGATAGGATTTAAGGGAGCTAGGAGGCATGTAGCTATCATTTAGGCTGACTGTCTTGCTTTATCCATGAGAAATTGAGGTCCAAGAAGGTGGAAGTAACTTTTCTAAAGAGGGCAGAGCTACACCCACAGCTCACCTGGAATCCCAGGTGCATAGCCCATAGGCAATTTGTCAGGATGAGCTAGGAGTCTGAGACCAGCTGATGGGATACGTCCTGGAGCTCTTTTCCAGCCTCTTTCACCTATAAGCAAACCAACTAATTGCTGAGAAGACAGAGAGAAGAGAGGGGAGGTGGCTACAGGGAACATTTCTCTACTCTAAACTAGGACAGCATTTTGGTAGAGAGCTGGGAAGACAGGAGCTTCAGGGGAGTCAAGTGCTGAGTGGTTGAATGCACAGAACTTTAGAAATTAATAGTTCCAGGCACAAATAGGGAAATGGGTCTGCAGCAATGGTGGAAATTGTTCAAGGGTACTTAGGGTTGCAGTAACAGAGGGAATAGTAAGAGCAGCTAACATTCATTGTGCATCTACGATGAGCCAGGCACTGTGCTTAGAGCTTTACCTGAATCAATTTACTTAATTCTCACAGAGGCCCTGTGAATTTGGTTCCAAAGGCCCACAATCCTATATCCAAAGTCTTTGAGTCTAAAGGTGTTTCCAATTCAGAATTTTTTGTATTTTAGAAAAATAGTAAGATGCACATATTACATATTATGTAATGATTCCCAGAGGGACTGGGGCAGCACCCAGTAAATAAGCACATTGACATTTCTACAGCAAGTGGGCTAGACGAAAACCATAAAACACTCATGTCAGTCTTGCCCCTAAATAAATGTGGGTGCCCCACTTATGAAAGAACGTTAAGGTTCCGAGGTTGGGGATTTCAGAGCTTTCAGACTACAATGGTATCATTTTCCAGGGGAGAAACCTGGCAGTCTGACTCTAGTCCGTGCTGTTAGCTACTGTGTGCTGCCTGGTGATACGATAATGTACATCTGTCATATTTTATGCTTATAGTGTATGTAATGTCATCCTGTTCTCATAGAAATACTAAGAAGAGGGAGCAAACGCTGCTGCATCTCTTTAACAGGCTCAGAAAAGTGGTGTCTTGTGTCTTGTTCAAGGGTACAGAATGGAGAGAAGCAGACTCCAAATCAAACGTCAGGTCTGCAGACTCCTGGCTGTCCTGACTCCCAAGTCCCGTGCCATTTGAGAACATTCCTTAGGAATTATTTGAAGTAAGGGCAATATAAAGAGAATGTTAACATTTATGATTCTTTGAGAATGGGTTTGAATTGGCAGCAGAATCAGAGTATTAACATGGAAACCTGTGCTAACTTTTTGAACAAATTTTAGAAGTGGATGTAAGAGCCTCCTCATCCTCCCCAAGTGTTACAGAGCAGGGTTCTGACCAGTCAAGCAAGGGAAACTGAGAGGGAATTTATCTGTAGCCAGCCCACTCCTCCTGCATCTGGAGCATTGTTCTCTGATACTGAGATGATCCCTCCTGATATTAGGGTTGTCTGAAGTCTCCTGCCTATCTTCAAAGGCAGTGGAAAAAACAAGCAAGCAAACAGCATCCTGAATGATGGCAGGTTTGGGCAGGATGTCTCTGCTGGTCATCCCTAGGGGTCCCAGACCAAATGTCAGAAAGCCACAGGGAGCTATAAGAAGGGCAATCTGTGAAATTCAGAAAGGAGCCAGAGGTGGAGGCTGCAAGGTCAGCCTTGAGAGTGAATAGAGGAGGGACACAGAGGATGCTGTTTGGCTCTTTGTTTTCAGAATATACATAGCCCCAGCATGGACCGGAGAACAGTTAAGGGTGAGGAGAGAGGGAGAGGCAGGTGGCCCTGAAGGATCCTGGGAAGGATGGAGAGATGAAGGACATGGAAAGACCTTCAATACTTCACCTTCTCACATCACTGCTTCACAGCACATTACTTGCAACTGGAATCTCTGGAGTCGTTTTCACTTCTGGCTCTAGCTAGAGTTTTTCTAAGATGCCAAATTGGCAGTTAACTACATGGTACTGTCTAAGGGCACCAACAAGCTCTCCTTACCCTGGCCTGAAAATATCTCACTGTTAGAGCAACTCTTTTGCACTGATGGCTTCTCCAGATGCCACATGCAAAGATTCTGCCAAAGAAGTGCCTATTACACACATGCCATCCACCTGTCTGGAATGTTCACCCCTTTCTGCTAAATTTCCACTCATCTTTCAAGACATTCCTTGGACCTGTGCCTCTTTCCTGGATGTGGCAATAGCTTTCTCGTACACCTCTATTAGAACTATTGTCATTCTAATATCGTTACATGTTTACAGGTCAGTCTCTCCCACAAGAACTAAATGGGGCAGTGTATGTGAAGTGCTTGGCACAGAGTAGGCACCAAGCAAATGTTAGCATTTCTCTTATCGTGCCTTCTGCCAATTCTCCAGGTGAACTATTTCTGGGATTCACTTCTTTCTCTCCTGCTTCCCTACCACCACCCTAACACATTCCTCTATTTAAGAGCTTTCTAACTGCCTCCATGCCTCCAATGTCTTTACTTTAACCTGCCCAACAGGCTGACTAATGCATTTCTCTAAGATATGCCTGTCCTTGCGTTCCTCCGCTATTCAAAGATTGCACCAGCCCCAAATGCCTAGCAATACATCCAGCAGTACAATTTGTTCCTTCTAGTCATAAAACTCTTACTAATCCTTTTCAGGTGATAGTGTCCTCCTTATACATAAAATATGCTGTGCCAATGACTTGTTCCAGGACCTCTGTTCTTACAACTTCTCCTAACCCACAATGTTCTTTTCTCCACACCACCTTCCAACTCCTCCCTACCTGGTTTAGCTTAAGTCGGATAGCCTCCATAAATCAATTAAATGAAGTCAATTAATAAATGTGACTTGAGTCATGCAGTGGGAGGAAAATAAAAAGGAAAGTCTCATTGTTCTCAGGAGCTGAAGTTCACATGGAGGCTTGATGCTCACTCGCATTCAGTATCATTAACTTCTCAGTAAAGATGCTATATATAACCCATGTCTGGTCCACTTTCTTCATGGCCTCATATTTTAGGACTCAACTTTCCTGTAAAGTTCCCCCAAAACATTTCTAAAGGTCAATAAAGAGCGCCTGAAGCGTGCTCATGAACAAGTCCTGGCAGTCTCTCTCTGTTAGCAATGCTTTTTTTTTTTAAAAAAAGATAAAGCCTATTGTTTTATTCAGGAATTTGTACATTCCAGCCAGGTAGGGGAGAGGAACGCACAATGAAAGACACAGAAATATCGGGGAAAATGTACTATAAACCGTTTTTTTCTTTTTTGGTTAAAAAAACCTTCACAATCAATATCCCACTCATAAGCAAAAGTGAGATTAAAAAAACAAGCGATTGTTGTTAATCTCGCATTTATGTATATCTTCTCATTTCATATGTACAGTTCATTTGGGTACTGCTATTGTCCACGAGCAGAAGCTTTAAAAGTAAAACAAGTATCAAGAAGGAAAAGTATTAACAAAAATTAGCTCAAAAAGACGTCCCTCGGAAGGGCTGGCGCGCCAGGCCCAGGCTGGGTCAGTAGAAGCAGACAGTGTGCAGGAAGGCCCTGCCGCTCTTCTCCTCGAACTCCTGCAGCAGCTCATCGATCTCATTCTCCATGTCCTCCGTGTGCTGAATGCATTGGCAGAGCTCACAAATGAGGAACGCCCCCAAGGTGGCCTCTTCGTGGTTGTCTTGGATGTCCACGTTGATAACGTGCACCGGCTGGCAGGTCTCCTGCTCTCTGGAATTCAGATCTTCCACCACCTGGTCATACACTCTCTCCTCGCAGGTGAGAATCAGGTCGAACAGGTCCTTGCAGTCTTGGAACCTTTCTGGTCCGGGCTTGATTCGCTTATTTCTGTCCAACATATGCAGAATGCCATTCTGCGTGTAGAGTTCCTTGTCTTTCCTAAGGAGATCATTGTACATCTGTTCATATGTGGTCTTGAAATCATAAACATTTGGCTTGTCGGGTGCTGGTCCTGGAAGCTTCACGTGAGTTCCTGTTCCAAAGGACCGGACACTGAATCCCCGTTTGCTTAGGATATTGTGTGCCTCCATGCTCCGGTTCTGGTTGCTGGAGCACACCACAGCCACCCGCAGCGGTGGGGTCGGCATGGCAACGGCGGCACCCTCCACACTCTCCACACCCTCCACACTCTCCACACTCTCCACACTCTCCACACTCTCCGCACTCTCCCACTCGGCGACTTTCACCCAGCCGCCGCACTTCAGCGAGAGAAAGATGGCGGCTGTGGCGCCCAGAAGTCATGACGCAAGGCGGGGGCGGTGCCAGCGACGTATCGCGTCGGGACGTGCAGCGCGGGCGTGTGCACGCGTCCTGGCGGCGTCCCCGCGCCGGCCCAGAGCGCGCGGCAGCATGCGAAGGGAGCCCCGCCCAATGAGCCCGCCGCGAACGCGCCGCTGCTCTAGGCGTGCGCGGCAGGGACCGGCCTGCCTCACTGTGGTTAGGGATGTTTTCGTCTGTAGGGAAGAGAACACCCAACAGTGTCTCAAGCAACGAAAGCATTAAATGTCTCACAACATGAGAGATCTAGAGGTAGGCAGTCAGATGTTGAAGCTTAGCGTGAGTTCAGAGAATGCCTGATAAATGGTAAGGTTGACGACACTTAGGCTATTAAGCTATAGATCCTTAAATTCCCTCTGACTACGAAAAGGACATATTCTGGTGGCTGAGGCAGGGATGTACATATAATAGGAGATGAGGGTAATGGTAGTAGGGGATCAAGTGGCCCTATGTGGATGAAGACAGGCTATTCGGGTGGGGATCTCAAAGGAATTAGGTAATCCATTTAATTCTTTTTTTTTTTTTTTTTAACATGTCTGTTACGCTTGGCATCTAAACACATTGGTAATCTATTTAAACAAACAAAAGGAAAGGGGAACACTAGCACATTTATGGCACTATACTTTCCTTTTTTTCTTTCCTGGACTTCTAATTTCTGTGAGTCTATTTTAAAACCTAAGGTTCTGTGGTCAATAATTGATGCTTCAAAGAAACAATTTACATAGATGGACTATTTATCTGTGTGGCTGCCGCTTACACTGTTAGTAATACTGTTGATACACGAGTCAGCAGGCATTCCCTCCTTCCTTCCTAATAGACCTTGAGTGTTATTCAGGTATTGAGCCAACCCAACCCTGTGTGGATGGGTGCCTCAGGGGAGGTTAAACTTCTGGGTGTAGAGTGCAAGAATGTCCTAAAGGACCCAGGCTCTTTCCAACCTTTTGCTTCGTCATTCTTAGTGTCTTGGCTTTTCATCCTCTTGCTTATAGCCCATGGCCTCTAAATGGCTGTCATCACTCCAGACATCATGAGTGATGCAGAGAGAGGAAGGAAGTGGAAGGGTGGAAAGGTTTTCTCTTCTCAATGCTTTTTATTCAGTAAGGGAAGCCTGCCAACTGCCTGTCATATCAGGACTCCCTCCTCCGAGTACTGTCGAACCCCACTGGACTTTCTACCTCTTTCAGGCACCATTGTCCCGTATAGTCAGGTTGCTAGATTCACTAAATAAAAATACATGACACCTAGTTAAATTTGAATTTATTAAACAGATAATTTTTTTGTGTAACTATGCCTCAAATGTTGCATGACATATACTAAAAAGTTATTTGGTTTTTACTTAAAATTCGCATTTAGCTGGGCACCCTGCAATTTTCTGGCAACTTTTCATTATGGGCACTGACACAACTGCCACCAGGTACCACCATCTCTCTAAGGAACTGCACCCATAGGTGAGCTGCTGTCTTCAAAATACCACAGCACTGGAATGCTAAATGAGAAGCTTGGTTTGAATGCCTCTCTTTACCTTTTTAAAAATACTCTATAAATAGAATCCTAAAGAAAAGTCACTTGTGCCCCATTGTCTTAATACATTTTCAACAAACCATCTCTTTACTTACAGCCACTCCTCCCTAAGACTCAGCCCTGAGTTCTGGAGGTAGAGCTGGGCCAGAAGACAAATGGGAATGGCAGACACTATGAGGCACCCAACATTGCTCCTTCCCTCTGAGGCCTAAGGTTTCGCCAAGCTGGTCTGTTTACCTTGACTCTAACCTGTATGTATCTTTATGAGGAAGCTCCAGCCCATTCTTTTGGCCAACATCTTTTTATTTCATACAAATAGACCTACCCACCTGTCTGCACAGACCTGTCGGAATCCTAGAAGAAGACACAGCTTAGTCTCATAAGTGTCACAGAAATGGTGTGCTATTCAGAGGAGAGATGAATAAAGACTTCACTGCTTAAGGTAGTCTTCATGGAAATTAGGATTTGCCTTAGTTCTTGAAGGAAGGAACTGAACAGGCCAGAAGACAAGAAGAGGATGTGAATGGGAAATGGAAAGAAGTGTGTTCTTAGGAGACTATGAGAAGACCAAGACTGAAGCAGGAGTTGCTGCTGTGGAATCATGGGAAATGAGGTTGAGTAAATTCATGGCCAGAGTATGGAAGATGCTGCGAGCAAGAAAGGGCAGTATGCTTGATTTAACAGTAGCTCGAGAACCTTTAGATCTTTCTCACCAGGATGAGGGACAGGTGAAAGCTGAATTTTCATATTTGCTGATTGGTTCAGCCACACAGAAAGAAATTACAAAACCATATATATGCACAAAACTCAAGATAGAAACTGTTTTAGAGCTATCTAGCTTTGTCGTCCAAAGTAAATACCGCATATCACTCAACCTAATCTTATTTTCACATTTCCTCTCATTCCCAGGTGTAAAATTAAGTCATTTAAAGAGAAACCCAGCATATTCTGTTGAAGGTATATACTTCTCTGCCAGCTAGGAATTCTGTCTTTAGAAGAATTCACTATTTTTAGCTAAATTCTTTAGTTCTTGGACTAAAGAATAAGACCATCTAGCATTTGAGAAAACCACATAGAAGATTCTTACATATTTAAGTTAGTATCAACTTCATCTCAGGCACAAAGATGTTCCAGGGTAACTTTGATCATTACTCATTCTCTGATAGCCACTTCCTTCCTGCTGGGCCAGGGGCTTATTTACAGGAGATGTTCTGAGTGTGTGTAGCATTCCTCCACACTATTCCCTCCCTGCTAATAAACACAGTACCCCCTCCACCCAAATAACCCCCCCCCACCCACTTACCCACTCACCCCCTGCAACATGCACAGGCTTTTCCTGCATTATTGATTAACCAAAGGATTGTGTGTACCTTGTCCCCTAATTACACTCTTTACAGAACAGTACAATTGATCTGGCTCAATGTAAATCCCTCCCCTTTTTGTATTTTGTCTCTCAGGATGGCCCCTTCCCCTCCCCATCCCCAGGGCCTCCTGGCTTCTGTTCCTTTCATCCTACTTTAAACCCTATCCAGAAAAGGATCTGACAAACTGACAAACTTTCACAGGAATGTTTAGAGATGTTCATGTGGGGGTCAGGGAGATCCAGAAAACTGAGAGACAAAAGAATATAATACGACCCTTTTTAAAGACCTTTTCTTCTTCAAAAATAAATAAATAAATAGATAAATAAATACATAAATAAACAAACAAATAAACCAGGCGGGGTGGGGTGCAGGTGCAGATTTCTTATCGTTACTTCTGTTTGCCTTGGAATTTTTCCACTGTGACATTTACATGTGTGCTTGGGTGGCTATGGTCACCAAACCTCAAAATGTTATCCTTCCTAGAGAAACAGGAAGGGAAGTGTTTCTAAAATAAGTCAAGCTCAAATTACAAAGATTGAGCATCAGCCATTCAAAGGAGGCACTATTTCTTCAGGCCAGGAGAGGCCTTTCCAGTATCATGAGGAACAGGCTAGCGAAGGTCCAGAGTACTCCTTGCTTGGTCCTTCTGCTCCGAACCCTTCACTTGAGTAGAAGGGCCATTCTAGTTTAGGGTTACTGTTATTTTTCAATTTATTTATTCATGGACAGGTAATACATGTATGTGGCACAGAAGTCAAAATATTGAACAGGTGATCAGGAGAAAAGAAAGCCTTTCTTTTCCTGCCTCCTGGTCATTCTGTCCTCCCTAGAGGCGACCCTATGATCAGTTTCTTAAATGTCCTCTTTCTAGAGATAATGTAGGCATTTTCCAAAATAGAGTTAAAGTTATTTGAAGTTCTCGTATTGGTTTATTTACTTGTTTTTTCAGAGATATCACATTCATTCAGGTAAAAAAGAATAACAAATGTAAAAAGACAATCCATGAAAAGGCATGCGCCCAACCCTGTTTCCTGCAATCTCCCTGGTTTTCACTCTCTACACCGCCACTTC